TTTTGAACGGTAGTGTATATATATATATATATATATATATTTGAAGGGCATTAGAGCATTATATACTGTATATATACATGTTCACAGACACAGCTGTCATCCAGTGTGGAACTGTATGTAGTAATGTGATGAAGGATTCTGGGTTCACAAGTGACTCAACAGAAGTGTATAGTCCTCATTTTGGAAAGACATCCAGGGCTGATCAGGCAGGTATGATATCAAGACTTGTGGCCAAGAGTCAGTCAGAGAAACAGAGGCATCTGAACTGATGGTTCTCAAACTGTTTCACATCACTGACACAAATTATCATGAACCCCCATCTGATCAGATTTTTGCTTTTCGATGTTTTATTACACAAAGAGTTTAAACCCATGACCATGTGATACGTATGAATGTGATGAGACATTGTCATTGTGTTACTTATGGATGGAATTATAGTCAACACCTGGGGGAGGCCTTTGTCTGCCAGGTCTTTAATTCCCACTTGGGGAAGAGTTTCTCATGGCCGCAACCAAAAAACCTGGTGTGTAGACAGCAGCAGAGAAGGAGCTTCAGGCTGAAGGGGAGGCCTTTCAGCCTCATCTTGCTCCTCCTGATGCAGGCGGCAGGTATTCAGAACCTCAGAGTCATTTCTCTGCTTTTGGCAGATGATGTGGTTCTGCTGGCTTCATTAGATGGTGACACTCATTTATATTATAGACTCAGTGGTGAGAGATAGAACACAGGACAGGAAATCTATAGTGGCTGGGTTTGTTCATTTATAGAGCGTATATGCTGTGGTATTACTGTCATGGTAAAGACCCATTTGCATGTTTGCAATTAAATAATTAATTAATAGTTAAAAAAACACAGATTATATGCTTTAAAAAGCCATGTAAACAGCAGAGCAGCCTGACAGGCAGGCTATCCACTGTTGAGGACACAAAGAGCAAAACTACAACTCAGTAATGTAGTTCAGGTGTATTTATTATGTACAGTGGTAAACAACATTCCTGTGCAGCATGATTTACAGTGCATACCTACCCCCACTCCCAACACACACACACAGACACACACACACACAAAATAATGAAGGAAAATAATATTTGAAAAAAACAATAGAAGAAAGAACTAAAAACTACGAAATGCCCCTTTAACTCTGGGCCCTTGCAGTTTTTACTCTTGTACAATCACAGCTGAACTTCCCGACCTCCAGCCTCCTCCTGTATCTCAGCTGGACAATCATTAGAATTAGATAATCAATTTTCCAACAGTAGATTAGCACCTGGTCCACATATCCACACATTTACATCTGAATTACAAAACACACTTGCAGACATTTTAGGTACTCATTTAAAAAGTTCATTAAAATAGCATTGTTTATTGTGAAACAATCAGCACCCCTCTAACTCTACCATACTTGGTTTCTTCCCCCAAGAACCCCTGTTCATAAGACAATGGCACCCTCCAGTGGTTTTGGCAGTTCTGGGTCTAAATAAAGGAGCACATGTACAGCAGAGAAGAAACAGGTGACAAACAATTGATTTTTGTTGTTAACACTTTTAACACTAAATACAAATGTTTAGCTCCGATACTAGAGTCCGTGTCTTATCATAAAATACCAGTGGTGGGCCGTCAGGGCCAGCAAGGCCTTCTCTGCTGGCCTAACATAATCAGAAATCATCATCATCATAATTATGATAAAAGTTAATTAAATTTTTAACTTACCTTCCCTAAATATATAAAAGTATTCTTCATATTCTGTTCATGTCATATTATGCTCCTTCCAGTGTTGTTTAGGTTAGAGTTTTTATCCAATCAGAATTCAGCTAGCTTGTGTTGCCACGCTGTATGAAATCTGCCGAGGCCTTCAGAAACAACAATGCGGGCGTCTGTGCACTGTAAGTGAACGGGCACATAGAGTTGATAGATAGTTGCGATAGCCAATCAGATCACGAGTTGTTGACAGTAAGGCCTTCTAGCTGGCCTCACGTTGAACGTGACATGTACGCGTCCTGTGATTGGATACTCACTTGTGAGAGCCGCCAAGACTATGCAGATCAACCGAGTCGCATCAGAGCCACACCCAGGGACCGTTAGCAGAGAAATCTAATATATCTACTTACTTTTTTAACCCACAATGGCCGACGGAGGGCAAAAAGTCGATTTGGTTGCAGATATACTTGCAAGGCCATTTTCAAGACGGACATTTCAAGAGAAGCTAAATCTTGTGAGACAAGGTCGGCCGACCCCCGAGCTAGCTAACCTGTCCCAGGCGGGGAAAGGGTTTGTCCGCCACTTCCAAGCAAGCAACTACGAGCGGTACCCCTGGTTTACGGCTTCCGATCGCGCTGCAAACTGTTCTGCTGGGAATGCCTTTTGTTTGCAAAGGATCGAGTTGGTGTGTGGAGCTACACTGAATTTGCGAACTTAAATTGTTTAACCAAGGCAGCAACGAGACACCAAAGCACGACTGGACACTTGCAAGCTACGGTGCTTTTAAAAACATTTGGGGACACCCGTGTGGATACACAGTTCAACGAACAGGTGCGCAGGGAAACAGCTGCACAATGAAATGGTGAAGAAAAACAGAATATTAAACTGCGATTTTGCAATTTAGTGTACTATCTTGTTAAAGCTTGCCTATTCTTTGTGAACTTAAAACTTTTTGGACAGATAATTTTAAATACCTTTTTATTTTTAAGTTTTGACAGTACCACGTAGATATGTTTTAATTGCTAATGCTAATGCGGGTTTATTAATTTTTAAATGTGCCGGAAAATAGCCTTTTTTGTACACAATTGAGGTGATGCAATGCCCAGTAGTGCGTAAGTGTGTTTCTGTATACTATTTCTCCAGTCGTGGTGTCATAAATGATGGTATTATGAGAGGTATTTATTGAAGTCGGACTAAGTAGGACATCAGTGAAGGCCTAGGTGTGAAATGCACGGCCCGCCACTGTAAAATACATTGTATGCAAAAAACAAACATAATGCTTTGTCGCTTGAATCTGAGATCTGGTCAATACGAGTTACCAGACAGGTTATCTTAGTGACTGTGTGTGTACCTGTAATTAGGGGTGGGCGATATGGCAAAAATATCATCACGATTTTTTAAAATTAAAATCACGATTTCGATTTTATCACGATCTTAAATTGGAAAAAGAAAAACAGACAATTTAGACCAAAGAACCTTTCTTAACAGATTTTAAGCCCGTAATTCGCTATGATTGGTCGGTCAGGTTGACGACGTCAATACGTCTGGTGCGTCGGTGCATCAGCATAGAACTGCAATTTATAGAATGTGCCCTAGACGATCCCACAATCTCTGCAGTTTGAAAGATCGTCTTCACGTTGTAATCCTTCACGATCTAATATCGTCATATCGCCCACCCCTACCTGTAATGATGGCAATAATCGTTCAAAGCTAAACCAAGAGATTGGACTTTACCACTCTGATATGGGGCAGGGACATTAATGTACCTTCTTCTGATTTGTGCACAAATCAGAGGACAGTGTTAGTTGACCAGCTGACCTGAGCCTGAGTGTGTCTAGCAATCTAACAGGTGAATACTGTCTGAAAATAAAAATGGTGTTAAAGTGACTTGCACACAGATGAGCCATCTGTGGTGAGATTAATGATGTTAAGAAATGCAGCCACCATGTTGTGTTGGAGATATGGTTGGAGATATCACACAATTGAAAAATGTTTGGTGATATCACACAATTGAAAAAATTAACTGACATGATCAAAAGCACAAAGACAGATAGAGGGAGATACAAAGATATCTTGATTCAGTTAACTGCACTGGAGCCCTGAGTGCTACTTTTAAAGGGGATAGTGTGGGTTATTTGACGTGGTGTTTTATGTGCTAGTCATGTATAGACAGTGAATTACCTGCAGTAGATTCAGATCAGCACTGTGCCAGTTAGGATCGGCAGCAGGGAACACGGTACACTAGCAGAGTGATGTGCTGCTGTGCACGGAGCCAGCAGAAAAAAGTGTTTTTAAAAACGCCCACTGAAACAATCCAATATCTGTTTAACTGCACGCTTCATGTAGAACATTTTCAGCAGTTTATCTTATACGGTAGTTCTGCGGTTGTAAAAATGTAGCGCCAAAGGAAAGTGCTGTTTTCACAGGAAGATAAACCACTGAAGATATTCTACATGAAGTGTAACATTTATTAATTGCATATTGGATTGTTTCAGTGGGTCGTTTTTAAAAAGAAACACTTTTTTCTGCTGGCCCGTCACAGCAGCACATCACTCTGCTAGTGTACTGGTGTTCCTGCTGCCCGATCCTAACTGGCACAGCGCTGATCCGTTCTACTCCAGGTAACACACAGACTATGCATGACTACTTCATACAACCCCACGTCAAATTACCATAACTATCCCTTTAAACAAATAGACTGTAAAACTGGGCATAAAGCTGCTGAGTGGGCTGCAGTGCTCTCCTCCACAGCTTCAAACACTTCGATCTGCCTGGAGTGTTCAGAGTCAATGTCCCCTTAAAACATTTACACACTGTTGCTGATTGGTTCAGACTTTCCACCAGCTCCTCACAGAGAGGAAGTCCTGAACCCTTCACTGCTGTGCATGGCTGTGAGTTTCATCCTGTGAGCCCACAAAGAAGCAGACCTGTTGTGGTGAGGAGGGGGCGGAGCGAGGACTGTGGTGGTGGTGGGACGAGGAGCACAAGGAGGTAGATTTGTGGATCTCCCAGTAGTTGCCATGGAGGTCGAGGGAGGAAAGAGCAGGCAGGTTGTCTCTCTGCACGGGTTTGTCATAGTGAGTGGGTGGAGGCGGCGCACTCAGACATTTCCTCAGGCACAGATCACTGTGAAGTCAATCACACATGTGACACAGGTTTGAGGACAGGCTCAGGCAGCTTTACACCCACCCACACCATGACTCATGTGACCCTATCATCTCACATGACGTGATTGGTGGTTCAATGTCTCTATAAGTGTTAAAGACCCTACAACAAGTTGTAACAAACACTACTACGTTTCAGTTTTAAAACTCATCTCTTGTACTATATTTACTCCTGATGTCCAGTCTTCAGCCCCTAAAACAGAGACTTTCAGAAACTCTGCTGGACCTGTTTTATTTTGAAAACTCTAGGGTTGTGTTATAGTCTGGACTGACACAAACTGAGACATTTGGAAATGATGACGTAGACACACATAGTCTCTCCTGATTGGTTCTCATCAGCCTCGACTACCATCGTTAAATATTGTATCTATATTGTATGTGAGACTTGTCGAGTTGATAATGTATGACTGAACCTCTGTTTTAAAATGACACTTTATGAAAATCATCTATCACCTGTTGGCTGGTTGTTCTTTCCAGGCCTGTCGGTATACGTCACCAGCCACCCCAAACAGCCAGCGCACATCAGCTGGCACCTCTGGGATCCACTCCACAAACCTGCAGTGGAAATGACTGTATTATATACACATGCAAGAGATGGGACTGTTGCTACAAGAGGGTTGGAAATGATACTGTTACTGATGAGACCTACACCTCACCTCTGAGCCACCGAGTAGGCTGACTGTACAGGAAGTGTATATGGCATAAGCATGTAGGAAGCCACTCTCACTGGCAGCATCTCAGACACCTTGGCATACAGCCCCGATTTGTCCTGGCAGGCTTCACAGAACACTGACAACACACAGACAACAGCACTAGTCAACCACACAGCAGTATGTACACACCAATTTAAAGAGGTATGATGTAACCTGTGACATTCAACTGAAGTCAAACCTGTCTTTATAACTAAAAGCCAACAGAGTCTGAGATGACACTGCACCTTTCTTGATTGGCGTAGGCAGAGCGATCTGCTCATCCAGCCACCAGTGCTGTTTATGCAGTAGGTGGAGCCTCCGGAGCACCCACTCCTTGGTTGTTTCAGTATGCTTACAGCAGCAGTTGAGGGTGCTCTCAGGGAGGGTGGGGCCGGGGGTTGGACTCTCCAGCATCAGCAGATCTGGCACCACAAAACATGACATCAGTGTCACAGTCCAAAGGTTAAGCTGGAGGCTGATAGGGGCACATCATAACCAGGTTATTTTAGTAACCATGGTAACACAGTAGTGCAGTACTCACTGTTCTCTTCAAGGAAGCGTAGAGCATCCTTATACCCACTCTGACACATCTCAGCCAGCACCTGTGGAGGGAAACGTGGTACATCTTATAACAAGGAAACACACACACTTTGTTGACTTCACATTATTGATCCACAACATGAATTGTCTGTGTAAGGATTATCAATTCAACTTCCTGTTTATAAAAAACAAAATCAAGATTAGAAAACTAATTAAATTTTACATTTTAAAAGTATGTTTTGTTATTGTCAGAATGATGTATTTATGATGTATTTATTCTTTTTTTCACTTTTTGTACATTTTGTCTTCATGCTCATTTATTGTTGTATAGTGTTGTATGACCATGATGCAGCCAAGACTCCTTTGTCTCAAAACAATGTTGTATTTTATAACCAAAGTTTTGACCCTTTAGGGCTGCCATACATTGCCTGCTTTTTTGTTAGAACATTTATCCAACTTTTAACTATTGACTTTGTCAATGGAAAATTAAACTGATAAGGAATTAACAAAACACACAAAAGACACATATAACCTCTAAAGTAATGTAAAAAAAAAAGATTGGAAGCAGGAGAAACAGCAGCCTGGCTCTGTCCACAGTTCAGAAATACACCTATAACCTCTACAGCTGATTAACATGATCATGTTCATTTAAACCAAACATAAATAATAAATACATAAATAAATACTAATAAACTTCCATATAAACTGAACACACACATACAGAGTGGTATCAAACCTCTCATTTAACTGTCAAAATGGCAGTACACATAATGTGTTAATCCATTTATTTAAGAAGGGATAAAAATGTCATGACTTTTAATATATTTTTATTTTGAAATCTTTTTAACCTAGTGTTTTTTATGCCATTAATACTATATATATATATATATATATATCTTAATATGAAGACTATTTGTAAAGTCTTGTCACCAAGCTGAAAGATGATAAGAGGATATGTACCTGCCCTGAAACCTCCTATCTGATGACATTTCCTATCACTGTCATTATGATAGTCATGCCCAGCAGTCAGTTTCTTACTTTTTATAATAGCAGTGTCTTCAGTGTCAGACCTCTGACATCAGCAGAGCTGCTTACAACCAATCCACAGGCTGGAGTGGTCAGACCACAGAGTCATGGGTCAAAATACACTCTGGTTATTTGATATTCAAGTTGTGTTTTTTACGCACGTCAATACGGTATCTGCCACGTGTGTGTTTGCAGAGAGAGGTTCCTAGCTCAGGCACATGTGGGCAGATTTGAGGGGTAATTCCTCCCTTCAGGAATTATGTTGAGAAAACAAATGCCCCTGTTACAGAGGTCTTTGAACTCAGTTACATAACCGTAAGGTCCAGACAGCATATCATGCATGCACATGGGAGGGGAGTTTTGAGGAGCCAGGCTGTGTAACAACACAGCAAACAGCTCAAGGTCAAAGCTCACCTCATCTGAAAAGTTACCTAACAGTCATCAGAGCAACCAGAGCAACAACAGGAAATGTGGGATAAAGGACAGTGACACAAGTGAAACAGAGGCAGCAGGTATATCCACTTCCTGTCAGTCGTGTAAATGGATGGAGAAGAGGAAGTAAAAACAGTCATGGCACAAAAATGATTTCTCAGACTGAACTGAGAATAATAACAGTAACACGGATCACATGAGTCATAAAGAGACTTTACTCAGTTGTGGCAGTGAGGTCTTAAAGAGTCAGAGTTACTTTAATTAATCCTGGTTACTGAGGGTGTGTGTGTGTGTTTGTGTGTGCGTGTGGGGTGGGGGTGGGGGGGTTCCCTGTCCTAAAACTACATCTGCCAATTTGGGTCTCCACTCTGGAGAACATCAGTATAACAGAGGTCTCCAGATTAATGTCAATGTTGCCTGTAGCTGTTGTGGGGGTTTGGGGCTCTGGTGCCGATGTGACATGATCAAGTGCAGTTTATCTTCAAACTGGAGACTGAAAACAAAAAGTCTCTTGTACAGTCTGCAAGGAGTAGAAACAGCTACTGTGATTTAGATTAATCTGCTGATATTATATTCTCCATTGATCAGAACCCATGGTGACAACTTGATTTTCCCTCTTTCAGTAAAAGTTTGCAGTGGTCTCTGTACATGTTCAACACATTCCACTTTTTATGAAAAAGTCTTTTTTTCCATCAACTAGATCAGATGGTGTCATCAAATGATACACAGGCAACAAGTGGCAGCAAGTCCCGTAGTGTTTTTTGTTCTACGCCGTTGTTTTGTCTGACGATGGAGAAAATAATTTACACAAAGGAAAAACTCCCGGCTTTAAAGTTTACCAGATATGGAGTTAAACATCCCATACAAGCTGAGCTAAAGAAGCTGTTCCGTGGATGCAGAGCCGGGGCTAAGCTAAAGGCTAGGAGATGGAGATATAAGCCTTTTCTACCACCGATCCTCATGGGAAATGTCAACTCCCTGGCTAACAAGTGTGATGAACTGGAGGCCAGCGAGCACATCGTGAATGTAGTCTCATGTGTTTCACGGAGACCTGGTTAAACGACAACACTCTCGACCGTTGTATGGATTTAACCTGGTTCACTGCAGTACGAGCGGACAGAGATGCCAGAGCAAGTGGGAAGAATAAAGGTGGAGGACTGGTTCTGCTTGTGAACAGTAGATGGTGCATCCCTGGTCATATCACAGTGATGGAGAAGATCTGTTGTTGTGATACTGAAGTGTTGGCAGTTGGTCTTAGACTGTACAATGTGCCGAGGGAGTTCTCACACATCGTCGCCATTATTATTTACATTCAACCACGAGCAGGGCATGCAGTTGCGTGTGAGGTCATTCACGAGACCGTTGTGAGAGTACAGACCCAGCACCCTGATGCATTCATTGCAATATCAGGGGATTTTAACCATGTCACTCTCACCTCTCACCTGATTGGCTTCACTCAGTATGTTGACTGTCCCACAAGGGAAAATAAGACACTTGATCTGTTGTATGCAAACGTTGTAGGAGGCCTACACTGCTTTAGCTCTACCACCACTTGGCAGATCAGATCATAATCTGGTTTTTCTTCAGCCTTCCTACAAACCTTGTGTACTGAGGCAGGCTGCAACCACCCACTCATTCAGGAACTGGACCCTGGAGGCCAGTGAGTCTCTAAAATACTGTTTTGAATGCACAGATTGGAATGTACTGTTGGAGTCACAGGAAAATGATAAAAGCAAATACCCTGGCCTTGATAGAATGGCTGAATGTACAACAGACTACATTAACTTCTGTATGGACACTGTATTACCAGCAAGGACTGTACACTTCTTTCCAAAGAACAAACCCTGGATCACCAGTAACATCAAGACCCTCCACAACCAGGAAAAGGAGGCCTTCAGGAATGGAGATAAGGGGAAGCTCAGGTGTGTGCAACATGAGCTGAAGAGGAGATTAAAGCAGGCGAAGGAGGACTACAAAAAGCCTTCAGTTGCAGCTTCTCCTATGGCATCTCTTCCACACCCTGACACTGCAGCTGCAACTCCCTCCACACTGGGGTCAAGTCTCCTGTCCTTTACAGTGGAGAAGGTGAGGGTGGAGCTCAAGAGGCTACGTCCTGGAAAGGCAACAGGCCCGGATGGTGTGTTTAACTTAAGCCTACAAACAGGGAGGGTCCTGGCCCTGTGGAAAACATCATGTCCTTTTCCGGTACCTAAAGTAGGGAGACAAATGAGATAAATGACTAGAGACCTGTGGCCCTCATATCACACATCATGAAGACCCTGGAGCAGCTGCTTCTCCACCTTCTGAGGCCACAGGTTGAACATGCACTGGACCCCCTACAGTTAGCCTACACAGGGGCGCTGCCAGGGATTTTGGGCCCCATGAAAAAATATCACATTGGGCCCCCTCACCAAAGGCCACAAGAACCCTGTGCAACTGCTATAACCACATCTCCAGGATCCAATTGACCCACTCAAAAGCTTTACATAACTCTACCTTTTCAGCTGTCTTGCCTCTTGTAGTCAAATATTTACTGTATGACTGACAAAAATGGATGTTTCACTGCGCACAAGGTGACTGATTTGCCTCTTCCTTTATTAAGTCTTCATGGCTTCATCATGGAACCAAAATGAACAAGCACAAAATAAAAACAGGAATCAGTTAGGCTACATAAAATGAAAAAGTAGGGCAACTTAGCATGAATAGGAACATAAGACTCAAGAAACCCATTTTTCTCAACAAAAAAAACAGCTCAACAAAATTTTCAGTCTTGATTGTACACAACAAGGTTTATGGTGCACCTGCCGACATATCAGCTGCTGAGTCTGGTAGGGAGGGCGGGCACAAGCCATTTAGTAGGCTATAATTAGCTGAAACGTTCATCTCATTGTGGATATCAAACTAGCAGGTTGATTTCAACCACTCACAGACTATACCCATCTTTCCTGGAGAAAAACTGGGTGACATACTGACGCCCTTTCTTCTCTCTCTCCTCTCTCTCCTTTCTTTCCCTCCTTTTCTGGGACCCAGACTTTGTCTTTCCAGACATTGCTGCAGCCTTTGGCGCACTCTGTGCGGCTTCTGTGCGGCTTCTGTGTCACTGCTGCGGCACAGCTGACTAGCGCCACTCAGGCAGGGCTGTACCATTTCATGCAGATAGGGGGGGGATTAATATGAATTTGCCCAAATGAAGTAGAGACCTTTGATATAAATTTTATGAAGACAAAGGGACCGTTTGTTTCATTACTTTATTTTGAATAAAGTATTAATTCTGATTTAAAAAAAAAAAAAAAAAAAAAAAAATCTATTTTTAATTTTTTTGGGAGGCCCCCTGTCAGTCATGGGCCCTTAGAATCGTCCTAACTTTTCCCCCGTTACGGCGCCCCTGAGCCTACAATGAACATATTGGAGTGGATGATGCTGTCCTTTACATGCTCCACCAGGCCCATACTTACTTGGATGAGCCAGGTGGTTACATGAGGATTATGTTCATTGATTTTTCAAGTGCATTTAACACCATTCAACCCCCCATTCTTAAAGACAAGATGGAAGGGATAGAGGTGGATTCCTGCTTCACGTCCTGGATTGTGGATTACCTGACATGACAACCACAGTAGGTCAGGCTGGGTAACTGTGTCTCACGGACAGTGATGAGCAGCGCTGGGGCTCCACAGGGGACTGTTCTGGCTCTGTTCCTGTTCACCCTGTATACGGCAGACTTTAAATATAAATCTGAGTCTTGGCACATCCAGAAATACTCGGATGACACAGCTATTGTCGTGTGCATCAGGAATGAGCAGGAAGAGGAGTACAAGGATCTGACGATGGCTTTCAGTGAATCGAGCGACAAGAACTGCCTCCTTCTGAACACCTTCAAGACCAAAGAGATGGTCATCGACTTTAGGAGGTCTAGGCCCACCCTCCAGCCAGTCAACATTCGAGGGAAGGACAGTGAGGTGGTGCACATAAAATGATGGTGCATTAAATCTCCAGACAGCTTACTTTGTCCACCAGGGCTGAATTAGCAAACAGGATGTAAGCCAGTTCCACCGGGGCTAAGCTGAGTTTTCATACACCACTAATAACTACACTTCACTTGGAGTAGTTTATGCAGTTTATGTACAAGCTCTTCTTCTGGCTCACTGTCGACGAAACAAATGCTGAAAATGTGCAACAACGCCTCAGTGGTCACAAAATCTGACCGGTCACATATTTCGGTGTAAAACCGGCACACATGCTAATGTTTGGGCTACTGCAGCCGTGCCCACCAGTACGTCAGGAGTGGGAGAGAGATAAAAGGGAAAATGACGACAGAAAATAATAACGAAAACTCGAGTTACAGTGTTACCAACACACCACAACACACAGCCCAAGGCTCAAAAGATGAGGACATCATTGAAAATAAGGGTTAGAGGAATTTGATAGTGTGGAGATACTTTGGCTGATTAAAGTCCGATAAGAAGCAGAGTAGCATGCACTGCAAATTTGTGTCGAAAGCATGTTCCTACAAAGACACATAATACCACCCATCCTCTACAGCATGCACAATGGAAGACTTTACAGTCCCAGATGAAGCTTTTGACTGGTCAGAATTTAGATTTTAGTTTATTATATATACACCTATTTTATTTATTTGAAATATTTTTTTCACTACATTTTATTTTGATAATTGTTGCTGCTCTAATTTGGTCACAGTTTTTATATTTATTGGAGAAATTCAAATGTTTTTCAATTCAGTTATGTTGTACATTGAGTACTAAACTGTAAGATTCAATAATAAATGACAATAAATGAAAACCATCTAAATTAAGATGGAATGAATTATGATGGATGCTATGCTATACTTGTCTGAACAGTGGTCACTGTGGGATAATGGTAAATGTTAAAACATACAGTAGTATAGTGAGCATCAGCAAATCAGCAAATTGACTCAGTTATATAAAAACAATGTCTATATAAAGTCTGCTGATACTAGCAAACATTAGGCACCAAGCTACTGGTCATACCAGACCAAGTAACACTGAAGCTCTGAGTTAACTGAACTGAGAAAGTGCATTTTATTTCCTCTAAACTCACAGTTTTATTTCTCATCACAAAATGGAAATATTATACCTTTAACCAGACAGTCTCTGACTTCCCTGCTTCAAAAGTAATGAGCTAAAACTCTGCAGTGTAAATGTTAGAGCTGAGGGAGCAGATTTGGATGGTAACTCTCTGTGGGTTAATTTCTATAAGTGACTCTTTTCACATTACATTCACATCATTCAAGTCATGTGATCTATTGTTTATATGAACTATTGACTGGTATAGCTTTAAATGAATCTGGACTGTGCACTGTGCTGCTCTGAAATGTAGGAAAACACAAGCTATGGATCTGGATCCAGAAATGCACTAATTTCTTTTAAATGACCCAGGTTCTGGAAAAAACCAAACCTTGGAATGAGCCTGGCTGAAGCACATCCAGCCTCTTGAACCACATGAACACAAGGACACACTGCACTCTACATGCCATGTGAACAAGCTGAGTGCTCCTCCAGTGCGTGCATATCACCTACCTTGGGTTCAGGTGGAAACAGGGCCCGGCTGAGGCGGTACATGTTACCCATGTTCATCTGAATGCTGGTGTTGGTGAAGCGCAGCTCGTGGAAGCTGGTGGAGTTGTCGCGGGGACAGATGTCGCTCTCTCCAGAGAACGGAGAGATGGTGATGGTGTTCTTCATATCTGACTGTGGCAGGTTGTTGCTGATCCCTCCATCCACATAACGCTAACGACAAAAGGAACAGGTAAAGAGACAGAAATTATCGATGAACTGTATCTAAAGCTGATAGTTGATTGTGATTTTTCTACCCACTGCACTCAAACATTACAGAACAGGTTTCACTGGGATATTGTTCTTTACAGTTGTACCATGATAATTGTGCCAGGCTCGACAAAGTCTGTGCTGCGATTGCTGATCTACCAGAGAAGACTCTTCAACATTAAAACCCAACCACTCTGTACTAACAGATCCCACTACAGTCACATCTCTAAAACACAAATATCTTTGTGTGAGTGACACAGTTTAAAATGTTACATAGACAGAATTTAATTCAAAGTTCCAGCTGCACAATCCCACTCAGCTTGGCAGAGGAGACTAAACCAGTGAAAATACTGATCCTCTGTGTTAGGAACTGCCAGAATAACAGAATATAGGTCAGTGAGCAAATGGAGGTCAGGGTCCTTTAGTGAGCACAGGAATGTATGAAAGTGTACTGTGACACTACTGAACTTCTGCTGTACTATTGGACTCTTTAGGCTCATGCAATCAACACTGTAATATTTCCATTGTTGTATCTTCTTTTTTTTTTACAAATGTTTTACATTTTAGCACCTTTGGTCCAGACTGAAATATCTGAACAAGTGTTGGATGAATTGTTATGAAAACAGATTCATGGTCCCTACAGGATGAATCCCAACGACTTTGATGATCTCCTGACTTTTCATCCAGTATCATAAGATTGATACTTTTGGTTTTTAGTGAATATCAAAACAACATTAGATGAATTGAAAATTTGGTTCAGACATTTATCTTCCTCACAGGATCAATTGTAGTGGCTTTGGAGATTCCTTAACTTTTCTTCTAGTGCCATCATCAAGTCATCATTTCATTTTATCCAATACTTTGGTTCATGACCAAACACCCAGTCAGACTCAGCTGTACTAGTGTTTGGCCACACACTACACTAAGATGGTGAACATCATAAACATTATACCCGTAAAACATCAGTGCAGTTTTAGTATGGTCACTGTGAGCATGTTAACATGCTGAGGTTAGCGTTTTGCTCAAAGTTGTTAAAAAATAAATAAAACTGTCTCAAAAATCCTGTGTAAGTTGAGCTTTCATGCAAAAAAAAAAACAACAACTGACTGTTCATTACTGGTCCTGTAATTTCTTAAAGGACCTATTTGTAAGTTCTGCTGTTGCTTCATAACCAGAGTTAGCATTAACAGCTGTTTACGTATCAATCTAGGAGAAACCTTTACTCACCAACAGCTGCTTCCAGAGGTGGAAACAAACACAAATGCTAACCTCTGTTTTGCTATTTCTATCACATCATTTCTTGTACTGAAGTTAGCATGCCAACCAGCTTGCCTTGGTCCAGTTGGAGTATCGCCACTTACTGACACACAGTAGCGTCCAGTCCGCTCAAAGGACTTGTTACAACCTCTTGTCTTGTAAACACAACAATGGCTGAAGGTGTTGTTAAGACTAGTAAGTAAACTGCTGTTAATGCTAACATTAGCTATGTAGCAACAGCAAAACTTAAAAATATATATTATATTTGGTATCAAAAATAAACTCATGTTATGAGACACAATGCAAATACCAATTAATTTGAGCTTTGAAGAAAGATCCAGAGAGTTATTTAGTTGTTACATAGTTGAGTAGATTTTGTAGGAACTTTATTCTCCATATTTGTTTGATTGTAAACTTGGATTTAATACATACAATACGAGTCAATAGTGTTCTGACTGAAACAATCTTGAGGTTACATTTGCCTTTAACCAGAATGAATGAATTCAAAGCATACCAGCTGAACACTGTCTCCATTTTCCTTATTAGCTCCAAGCAGCATCCTCTTTTAAGGAATTCAAGGAACTTTACAAGAAGTTACATATCAGTCCCTTTATGTGGAATCACAAATGCTGACAAATTGATTACTGACACATGGACCATGTGTTAGGCTGCTCTCTACAACACAGTCATGCCTCAAGTTACTGCACACTTGTTGTCAGAGTCAGTGAGTCACACTAGACTGAGCTACGAACCAGCAGCCAGGCTGGGAAGCAGAAAGTACACATTATACAGAACCCACAGGCGAGGGATTGCAGACACAAACACTGTATGTACACACATGTAAACACATCAGCTGAATGGAGCAGCAGCTTATAGGACTCTCAGTGTTTCTTGTGCCATTTTGACACTGAACTTTGGCACCAACACTGAGACAACAGGCTCTATTCAGTTCACTGATATGTCCACAAAGAGGATGTCTGTCCTGGGTGATGTGTTTTGTCACGGTGATGTACTGTGTGACTGCAGCCTCACTGCCAAGACACTGGTCCTGAGAACTTTTTCTTTATTCATATATACTGTCAATTAATGTATCACATTACTACATTCATTCATTGTTGTAACACTTAATGTCATCAGGGTGATTACTCCTTTAATGTAATCTGGTTGATTATTGTTATCTGCCTTTATGTTGATGTACTTGACCTTTGTATTTCATAACAGCTACATAAATGGATATGAATCCACAGTCTTATGACTATGTTTGAACTAGCAGTAGTGAATGGGAAGTAGGTCTGATGAGATCACTGCCGAAGTCCAGCTGCAGCTGATAAGTCAAAGTGATGGCAGCACTCATATCAAAAACTAGGACTTGCAGCTAAAATAAGGTTTTTTTCTGAACATACAGATGATTAATGATGATTAGTGATCATGTAATGGTAACCTGACCCGTATTTTCCATGTTGCCTTCAGTGCAGCGTCCTCCTGTTTGCAGATTGTACTGACATACTGTCATATAAAAGGAATGTTTTTCATTGAATGCACCCAGAGGCGATCCTTCAGATTATAGACCTGATCTACTTTTGAGCTTTTTAAACCCTCAGACTCATGAGAACTTCCCTCTCTGAGGTATGGCTTGTTGCTACATACTGACACGCAATCTACCTCTGCCTGGCCTGCAGCCTGTGTGTGTTTGTGTTTGTGTGTGTGTGTGTGTGTGTGTGTGTGTGTGTGTGTGTGTGTGTGTGTGTGTGTGTGTGTTCAATATGAACAATAGGCTATATCAAGATACCAAGATAATCATTTGTCACATTCAGTTATGTTGTTTTGTATTGTTATATTAAAATATTCCCCTCTGATAATATTATATATGTCACATTTTAAGAGGAAGTGAGTGACCACACACTCTTCTCTCTGTTGGTAGCCAGGACTTCTTCTACCATTCTTTACCCCTCGTTTAACCTCTTCTCCTCTCCCTACAATCCTGTGTGTTCTGCTCCAGTCCCTGTCTCTGCTCTGAACCTGCTCAGCTCAGCATTCCGCTCTCTGGACACTCTGCTTGGCTCTGCGTTGACCTCCCCCCCTGCTCAGCACAACCAGCCTCCAGCCCAGTTCCCCACACTCTCAGTCATCCCCTCAGCACAGCTCATACAGTACCTCATCCCCACTATGCTTAGTACAGTAAATGCTGCCTCCACCCAGTGGAGTGTGGTAATTAGCTTGAACCTGTATGTAATGAAGTAAATAATGTGACTATTCTGGGAGGAGACATAACATTATGAAATACTTTGTACAAATAACTGTGCATCCCTGAAGTGGAAACCAGAGCTAAATCTTAACGAGAACTAAATTAGACCTACCACTCCTCTGAAGGATGGAGGAATCAGCCCACAGTAGATGGGGATGAAACAGCTACAGATCAGCGCCTATGGACAGAGCGCAGGGTTAAACCAGAGGAAATCCATTTCTTGAGGCTTGCATTACTGTAACAGAGGCCCTACAGGCCTCTCCAGATTTATCAGATAATCATCCAAGCACCTGAATCAGCTCCTCTTTGGAGCTGAACTCCGACACCAGCACGTTCTCCCCATCAGACACTCTGGTGAGTGAGACACACAGCCGCCCTGAGGCTAGGACATGTGCGTCAGAGGGCAGATCACGATTCAGACCTGACTTTATCACCTTCACCAGGTTGAAGTTGGGGTGAAGGGGGCCCAGGTTCCTCTTCCTGGCCTCCTTCGCCACCTCAATCACATCTTCACAGCATTTAGCTGGGAAACAGAAAGAAGAAGGAGAAGTGAAGGTGAAGGAGACGCCGCACACAGAAACACACTGCTTCAAGTGTCAATCTGCGACCAGATCAATGCTAAAGCTACCAGGAGTCAGTGATTAAAAGTGACCTGGATGAGTCCCCCTCTGAGCACAGGCTGACCTGCACACACACGTGTCCACTGACATCAGGCCGCATGATTGTTTATTGATAGTAGGAAAAGTGAAAGAGTCCCTGTGACTCACACAGTCTTGAGAAACAGGGTGTTCCCTTATCGACCAGTGGCTCCACTGATTCTGATTGAAACACATACTGAACATATATCAATTAAAGCAATTATCAGCCTATTGAGTCCTTATGTCCTCCCGTCTTCTGATAGTAAAGTTACATCTAATGTACAGATGTTATCTACAGCACTGAACAAAGAATAGTTACTGAAAAATACTTGGACTTAACAAATGAATTGTATTTAACTGAATAAATCTATATAGCAAAAATACATAAACTCATTCTGACTTTAATAAATATCCACATCTGTAATTTTGTGTACATGTTAATGACATTCGGATGAAGTATATTTCAGACAGAGGGAAACCGAAGCTCACTGTGTTTCATATATGAAAAATACCTACATTTAGTACAGTACATTTATCTAATATGTGCTATTTCTATATGCGAAGATATAAAAAAAAAACCCAACTAAAATCTCCCGAAATTCAACCTGTTTCCACACAACAAGAACTGAACTGAAACAAGTTGAAGTTCGTGCACCACTCATTAATTAAAGGCTATGGATACTGTTACTACTACAAATAATAATAATAATAATAATAATAATAATAATAACAGCCTTCAGGACTTCCGGTTTCCTGTGCATTAAGCTCCAGGCTGTCAGGCCACAGCGGTGTATCTTACTTATAGATGCCTGGCTGGCGAGCACCGAGGCAGTCAGAGCACCGGCAGAGGCGCCGTACAGCTGGGTGGCCCCTCTGACGAGGTAAGGCGCTTTCTCCAGCAGACAGCTGGCAACTCCGATGTGGTAAATCCCCAGGAACCCGCACCCGGCGAAAGACAGACTCCAGCCGCCGCTGAGGTCGAACATGGCGGGACATGCCACGGCTGGGGAGCCCGAGAGCAGACAGAACACCGAGCGCGCAGCGGGAGGCTCACTGCTGTCACCTCTGCTCGGCGGAGAGACGCTGACTGACGGACTTTAAACGGGGAAGTGCAGGGAGGGCCAGCTGCTGGTGATGCGTTCAGGTGCAGTCAGAACGATCACAACCCCGATATGAGCGGTCCAGTAGAGCGTCTATATGTAGGCCACAGTAATTTCAAACAGCACACTTATTTGACATACAGTCATAGTGCCATCACTATTTTATTTACTGCTCATTAGTCCAGACATGTTCACAGTATCTGAAGATCTATAACCATGACCTGCACTTTGCATGAATATGAAGGCAACATACATATGTTAGTGAGAGCGGGATTGGATGAATGCACGTCTATCACTTCCTTTTCTAAGAACCAATAAACAGCGAGGGGGATCGACTACATGCTGTTACATCATGACTCACTTAACCTCACCTGTTGCAGGTCTCTGTCTTCTGTGATGCTGACAGACCACCCTGATTCTCACTACTGGGTGTCACCTGAGGACAGAGTTACACATTTGATCAGAAGTGATGATGAATCAAAGAAGAGACTATTTTACTGTAGAAGAAAAAGAAAACGTGAATAAACTAACAATGGAAATATTACATATTTACCTTGTTTGTTGTTTTTTGTTTTGTATAATAAAATATAATGTTGATAACAAATGCGATACACCTTTAGGTCATGTTTGTGCACCATATAAGAATATATGGGGACAGCGCATTAAAGTGTTGGGGATGAAAGGTTTTATACAGTGACACTGTGGCAGCTATAAGTATTTCCTGAAGAGGATGTGATGTCACACACTGATGTCTGCTGACCTTCATCTATTGACTGAGGCTGAGACATAGTGGGAGTTAATTGGGACTTTCATCATCAGGACCTTATTCATAGTTGATCATATGCAGTAGTGACCATCCTGAATGTTAATGGTAATAATAATGGAATAATCTGTTACCTCCTTGTCAAAACTGATGTGGGACCCCAGAGCAGAGACAGAACACAAAACACACCAGCAATACCATGCAAGGGAGTTTATTGGGGCGAAGGCAATGGTGATGGTGAATGTGGAGGTGAAGTGTTTCCCAGGAATCCAGGTGGCGGGTGAGAACAGACAGGAGCCTGGGGAACACTGGAAGCCAGAGGCAGGGGAGTAACACACTCTTGAAAACCCGAGGGACAGCTGGAGACCAAAAGCAGATGGGTGGTGTGGTGTGGCGACAGCGGAGGGTGGCAGGACCAGCAGCCCACGAATCAGGAATTCTTCTTGAGCACAGGAGAACAAATGTTACTACAGACAAAAATCACTGGGAAATATCACAATATAAACTCCATAGTCACAAAAACTAAACAGAAAGGCAGAGAGAGTTCTATCACTGCGAAGCATGGAAAATCTGACGTTGAATGGATGGATGACCAGGGTAGATATACTGCAGGTGATGAGTTACCGGTGTGGTGGTAAGTTGCTGTCCAGACCACGCCTCCGCTGAGTCACCTGATGGAAGCACACAGCCACACACACACGGGGAAGGGGAGACAAACAGGAAAAGGAAAAAACACTGGGAGACACAGCGAGACTGTGACATAACTTAAAAAGTAGAGAAAAAATTAAATCGTGGCAAAAGTCTTGATGTAAAACACTTTAACTCATTAGACCTTAACCAACTCGTGAAGAACTGTCATTAGGAAATGTTTGGAAACTGTAAGAAACATAAATGGTATATTATTCAATAATAAAAAAATAAAACAACCCTACATATAACATATATTAGTAGTTGTACAGCTACAGCAATCACAGTAATCATTGACTATTGATTATCTGTCTGAAGAGCAGCACAGAAACATTAACTGAGTTTACTGTGACTGTGACTCTATAGGATCAGTATATGATCATTGTTGGGGTGTTTATAATACTAACTGCTTTCATTAACTCCATATTTAATATATAGACACAACACACAATCACATCATGCTATTTAATAACATGCTATGGTTTATTTATAACATCAACATTACAGTAACTGATTCTATAGGATTTTATGAGGCCTATAATATCACAGCAGCTCGGTGATACTGATACTGTTCACTGGAGTCTATGGGTCTGTGCGTGTCGTCGCCCCAGTAAGAGTGGTCCTGATGCTGGACCTCGTGTGCGCGCATTACATCACTTATCTCCCGCGTGATTGGCTGTAGATCAACTCGCCCGCCCGCCGCGCAGCATCCAGCGCGAGCCTCCTCCTCATCATCATCCCGAAGCGAGCGGCAGCGGTGTTCAGATCAGTCTCATCACCATCATCATCCTCATCTATTTTATTCCTCTGGATCACACTGTTCGTTTGGTGCCTCGCGCTTTCCTTTCCTTTGCACTGGCGGCTCGTTTGGACGATGGCCGAAAGCGAGGCAGACACGCCGAGCACGCCGATCGAGTTTGAGAGCAAATACTTCGAGTTTGATGGAGTGCGGCTGCCGCCCTTCTGCAGAGGGAAGATGGAGGAGATCGCCAATTTCTCCCTCAGAAGTAGCGACATATGGATTGTCACCTACCCGAAGTCAGGTAAACAAGCCTCTGCGTCACCATCTGCGCAGTGCTCGCTGGGTCGTCAGATGTCTTCACTTGTATTTGCTCTCTGCTGCAGCGACGACTGCAGGTTTCCCCTGTGATTCTCAAAGTTTCTCATTTGACACAGAGCGACCCAATGTACAGCCCGCATCAGCCGTAGGCTCCATTTTTCCATGCCTTAGTTCCAGGCTTCATTAAAGTTACAAAGCAGGTGGTGTTTCATATTTAATAGCGCTGGGTGGGTCAGTTATCTAATATCTCTACAGGCCTTTCTCAAGCTTTACCAGCCTCTGTGTCATAATCACTCTGAGACACAGTAAATAGATGACTGCGTGGCTGCAGTGAATCAGTCAGCCCACACGTCACTCACCATAGTGATGAGAGACGGAAGTTCATGTTTACATCCATCTCCGAGTGTCTTTGCGCAGCGCTGCTGCAACCGGCTGCCGTGCGCGGTGCCCTGTTGTGCGCTGGGTGGGTCCGGTCATGTGACGGCTGTAGTGCACACACAGAGAGGGGCAGAGGGATGTTTGACTGTTGTCATGGGAATCATCTCTCATCTTCTGGTTCAGCATCTGAGCAGCAACACCTGTCTGTGATGGAAGACAGTCAATAGGCCTGTTCACAGTTAGCAAAGTCCATAACTGATGATGGGATTATCCAAGTTATCATCACTTAGACCATGTGGCTTAATACATGATACAGCTACAGATCAGTCTTACAGAAATTAATGCATCGCCTCTGTTTTCATTGGAAAACACACCTAACTGTTCTCTGACTAAAGCCTTAGAAAAACAGATGAACTGAGATGTTGCAGCTGATCGTTGCTGTTTGCTGGTTTAAAGTTATGCTGGGACAAAAAAATAAAGGGGGTGAGTGGATACATAATGCAGTGTTGCGGCACCATACACACAGTGTTACATGATACTGTGAGAGAAAGCAGTTGAGTGCAGTAGTGTGTGTATGTGTAACAGACCAGTGTGTAACAGCACAGGTTTGTGCTGCATCCTGATCCACACAGGCCCTTTGCTAACTGTCCTCAGCTATCACTCATCCAGGGCTCGTCAGACACAGGTTGCAACATCCTTTGATGCTTTGCAAAGTCAGTGATATTTCCTGACAGTTTTGCAAAACCAAAGTTACAAATGATTCATGGCCTCCAGAGCAGGCTATGGTTGTATTAGGGAAAGACTGGAAAATGACAGATATGTTGGGGGTTAGGCCCTCAGTTATAGCTGCACTGAAAAGTTTTTATTACTTACTAAAACAATAAACAATAAACAATAAACAAACTAAACAATAGATCAAATGATTATGTGAAATGTGAGAGTTGTCAGACTGATGTCAGCTCACTGTTATGATTTTGCAGTGTGCAGCAAACAGCAGACTCAGTCAGAGAGCAGCTGTGAACAGAGTGGAGCATTTAGCAGCTAAAGGAGCTGGTGGAGACAAAACACAGACCTAAAAGAGAGGGAATATTGCATTTCCATACATCAGGTGGACACAAACACAATTTCTAAATAGACAACTGTTTGCTCACACATTAATTCTAGCTTTATAAGGTGACAAAACAGCAACTGTTGGATTGTGAAGGAAAGAAATTCCAGTTTCCTGCATTAAAGTCCCGCAACCAAAGACACCTCAGTTACACAAAGGTACTGAATATTGGCATAAGGGCTAAATGACAAAATGCAGAGGAGAACAGAGTGTTGTAGTGTTGAGTGATGCAGGGGAAATGCTATAAGAAAATGGCTAGTGTTGATGTATGGGAGATAGCCATGTATCTTAGTGGAAAAACCCAGCAGTGCTGCGAGGCAGAATGATGAGCATATACGCAGATTCTTCATGGTGCTTAAAAGAACAATTTAAAAGTTTGACAGCTTACAGGTGACTGGCTGAAGGCCACCATATAAGGTTGTGATGGGTGAAGACTTGAATGGGAGGGTGGAACTTATAGATAGCGGGATGCTTGTGACTTAGAAGGCATGCGCAAGGAGATAGTCTTCCAAACTGAACTTTCACTAAGCTTAATTTCCAGGGAACAATGGTTTGATATCAAAGCTGTTTTCTCAGGCTCAGGATCAGGGACATCTGTTAAGGTCATCAGGTACTGAACACATCAATCTGGGCATGGGCACCAAGAACACTCATAAGTCTGGTCCTGTTCAGACCTGCATTAATGTATCTTCAGTAAACCAGTCACAACTGGTCAGCTCTAATTACATCAGCTTACACTTGGATTTATAATGCACTTGTGATTGGATCTCAGTTCCTCGCTCTATATGCAAATAAACACATACATCATTCCTGTTCACAAAGGTAGACCAAATGCATTGTTGGACCATGACAGACATAAGTGTGGCCCAGGACACATTCATGTTCACTCTGCTAAAAGAATGTGGCCACATGTGGTCCAGACCACCTCTGAATCGGATCTCAAATACGTCCTCAATGTGTCTTGGATGTATTCACACCTGAACTTAGAGTGATCCACTGGTGATCAGATCATCTGAGATGGATGTTAATACCAGGTCTGAACAGGTCTGGACCATTCTGGACACGGCCTCTGTCAGAGCAGGATCTGGCCTCTCTTCTGTTTCTCTGTAGTTTTCCGCACAACACATGAATGTTGTCAGGTAAAAACCTTGTAAAACCCAGTGATCTTCATGTTTGTCCTTTAAAGGACCTCTGAGGATGGAGATGTGCCCTCTGCTGGACACCTTTCAGAGGACAAATAGAAAGACATGCATGTCCATGAAGCTGTAAACAAAGCTAGTTGCCCTAATGCAACAAAATGAAAAACTCTGCTGCTTCTTTAAGCAACCTGCAGCCACACCCCCCTGGTCTGTGTCGTTGTATCTGTCTCTTCTGGTGCAGAGGAAAGAAAGCACATGGCAGGCCATGGGGCTAAGGTGCTGCAGAGCTACGATGCCATTGGCTCACATGTTTCTGTCTTGGCCAATGGGATTAGAAAGATTCTGTAAAATAGAGGAGGGGGTAGAATCCTGGGTTTTCCCTACAGTTTTTGATGGTGGTGCATTTATGGCTGCTGTGACTTCAGCCACATGCTCTGTCATGTCTCCCTGCAGGTGGTGCACCTCTGCACTGCACAAAGGCACAAATAAATCACAGGGGGCACTAAAATCAGAAGCACTGATGCAGAGCAGGAAGCCTCTGCTCAGGCTGCGAGCTCTTCACTACCTCCTGAAACAAACAGAGGCATTTCACAAAATGAAAATCACACCTTTTAAGAAGCACTTCACTGTTTGTAATGCTCTTGAGGAGGAGAACCCTGTGAGAACAAAAGTTTTCACCTTGATGATGTCATGTTATTTACTTATTTTTAGCAGGAAACAAACTCTGCACATGGAGTTTGAAAGACGTTGGTCTTTACCAGGCAGGGAGAGTCGAATAAAAGGTATTGAATTGCATCATGGTAAGTGTATGATCCATTACTTTTGGAGCTTGACCCCTATATAGAATACAAATCGAATATCTCAGTGTTTTATGGAAGTCCAATCCTAAATTGCTGAAGAGCCCATTTAGATATACAACAGTGGTGTGTTGCCTCACTGTTGGCATATTCATATTTTCATCATTTAAGAAATTTTAAATTGGCATTTACTCTGTCTAAACTGCTGGTGGGATGATTGGATACCTTTAGAAACCCTCTCTCCTGACACCTCTGTGATGTCAGATTAGGGCTGTTTACGTCTGACTATTTCTGTTTCTGAAACCAACAATCTGACGTTTACACCTACCTCAAGCCATGTGATGCTGGGAAACACACTGGCTGCGTGGCGTGATGTAGTCATTAAGCAGCAGGGTCAACCCTGTAAACATGAATGTCTTTCAACTGAGTGATGAAGCTATACCATTGGTCAGTCCAATGTTGCTACTACATAGCTTTATCAACATCTAATAACCTGAATCCAGAAAAACTGTTATGATTTAAAATGAAAAATTATGTATACCATATGGTCAAAGCTACATTGCTTATGTACTGTATGGCCCCTGAACTTTATGCCCATATGTGATTGTTTAACAGGTCTCTCCAAAACCATGGTTATTAATGTGCTTCCACCAGATGTTGAACCTGCTGCTGGGACTATGTAAGGTTGTAATGTTGGTTGACAAGGTCTAGTTTATAATCAGTGAGAAAATCCAGCTCATGTCAAAGGTGTTTGATCTAGTTGAGGTCCAGGATCTGTGAAGGACATTCTGGGAAAACCCTTTCCTCTTGGAGTTGGCTTTGCACACTGGTGTACTGTCATGTTGAAACAGGAAAGAGACAAACAAACTGTTGAAAACACACTATGATCAGCCCTCATTGGAACTAAGGGGCTGAGGCCAACCCATTAAGAAACAGCCCCAGCCCCAGCACCATTATATCTCCTTCCCCGAACTCTACATTTGCTCTGTGCCTTCAGGCCTCAGCCTTCTCCTAGAATCTACCAAACCCAGACTCCGGCAGACTTCCATATAGTAAAGCTTTGTTTGTTTCTACAGACACAGTTCCAGGAGTCCAGTGGCAGTTACACCAGCTGATGCTTGGTATGGTGATCTTCAGCTTTTGGGTCGTCATGATGCTCCTGATGAACAGCTCTTGTCTTGAAGCAGTTTAGAATCATTCTGACCTATTGCTTTGCAGCCAAGCTGATGCTGCTCATTGCCTCAGCTGTTTCTGCACTTATATTTGACCAGGGCAAATCCAGCAGGGCAGATAGGTGATGAACTGACTTTGCCCTATGACACCGCCCTGTTGAAAATCAGAGTTCTTCAGTTTGACTACTTTTTTGAGATTGATGACTTTATTCTAGTTTTTTGGCTGAGGTAACTAAGACCACTAACTGACCTTTCACTAAACCCCCACCTCAAACTGTGATTGGCTAATTGCAACCATATCTGTCAAGCTTTGAATTTCTCCACAGGGTGAAGCAGCGTGCATGTTGTTTTAGGTTGTTTATCTGCTCTACTGTAATCATTAGCAGGCC